GTAGTTTCTTCCTTGTGTTCCTGGCTATACCTCTGGAAGTTGTCTGACTGACTTATAGTTTCATCCTTGTGTTCCTGGCTATACCTCGGGAAGTTGTCTGATTGACTCATAGTTTCTTTCTTGTGTTCCTGGCCAAACTTCTATCTATTGTCTGATTGACTCATAGTTTCGTCCTTGTGTTCCTGACCATACTTATAGAAATTGTCTGATTGACTAGTAGCTTCTTCCTTATGTTATTGGTCATATTCACTAACTGCTGTTTCTTGAGTTATATATATTTTTAAATTATTTTTATGATAATCCTCTTACAACTTTATGTTTTGAAGATAAATCAACAAATTATGATTAATGAAATTGGTTAACTTTTTGCAGAAAAGCTGCCCCACAACACATTCCTGAACGAGCTCCACCAACCCGAACTCCCGAAGATACGCCTCCTCAAACTCCTCCTTCCACAACTTCTTCTCCAGTTCGTTTTCAGCTGGATAAACAACGGCAGATCCCACCCCCGGTTTTGTCCAGCCAATCAGCTCCAAATGTTATGACATATTTAAGAGTCAGGGGAGGTATGATTATTTTTAATATTAGAATATATTTATATTAGTATGTTGAGATATAGTTAGAGAGTAACATGAGTGAACAGACTTGCTCCACCAACAGACATAAACAAGAATAAAAAAAATTTATAACCATGTCTCGTAAGCAGAAAACCCACGGTAAAGGTGCAAAACCAAAATGTTAAAATATAAATAGATATTTTTATAAATGTAAATAAAATCACAACCCATATCTCCAGAATGTAACTTTATTAGCTCAATATTTCCCTATTACAGCTTTGTCAGGAACTATCGATATCCTACAAGTTCAATAATCCAGTTAAATTTAAATAGGTTGTGATTTTATTTACGTTTATAGAAACAGTTTGCCTTAACAAAGTTAAGAATAATAAAATAAATATTTTATTTCTCTGGAGATGTGGGATGTACTTTTTACAAGAATAAAAATGTTTTAAAGCAAGGAACTAGTGGCACCTGTTATATATTTAAGAAAAAAAAGGTGATATATTTACTGACCTAAAACCGTGGCCATCACTTAAAAGTTGATGTACTTAATTCTGTTGGAAACACTACAAAATAAAATATACCTATATGATCATACTTCTCTGGATCTAAATTATGTGATTCTGAAAGATTAGTTGTAAAACATTCTGGCAAAACTTATAAAAACATCTATAAAAAAGTAATCAGTACATTTTTTGAAAATTTTAGTTTTTGTTTTGAGAAATATTTGATTACTTTTATGCGAATTAAGTTTGTTTCGGGGTTTTTATTTAGCACAAATGGGGAATTGAACCTCATATTTAAGTATCGTAAGTAACGAGACCACCTGCTGATATAATGGAAGAAGATTTAGGCATGTATTTACCATCTTAAAAAAACTTTTATTTCATCATTGTTATAAGCCCTGAGGCTTACTGCTGAGCCTTTTGGGTGGGATGGGGCATATTGTATATTAACACACTAATCACCATTTTTTAAACAAAACTAACAGATGTGGTGGTTTATTTTATTTTTCATGTAGAAATATTGTAATTCATTTTGTAATTTTACATATTTACTTCAGATATTTAATTTTCTTTCAATATATTAGCGGTAGGGAAGCGAGGAAGCAGTGAAACTGAAAGTGGTAGCCCTTCAACTACTCCACGAAGTAGCTTTCAGACAGAATCAACCATACTCTCGACTCCAAGAAGCAGTTTCCAGTATCCAGACTCTCCACAACATAGCAGTAAAGCTGGTGTGGTGGTCACTTCATCCCGGGCTTCAACTCGCAGGTACGTCAAATTTTTGTTTATAGATAATAATTAGAAAATTCATAAACATATCTTTGGTACAACCATATGTTCCACTTTCTTCTTACAACCTCCCCCCTTCTTTTTTACAGATACACTCCAACATTTGCTAAATCTTTGTTACACACATATCTCACTGCGTATACATACAAATGATCTTGAACAGGTATTCCACCAAGTGCACAACATTCTGATTTCCATTTACCCCACTTACTGGTTTTTGTTATAATTTTTCTATGATTATTCAACCTTGTTCAAGTTAAAGTTTCTTATTTGTACTTTCACTTCACAACATCAGTTATTAAAAACTGGGGAATTTACTAACTAATTAAAGTAACTTCCTTCCTCCTAAGCGTAACTGTCTTGGCAATAAATACAATTTCTGTGTGATTTAATTCAGTAATAAACTTTGTATAGTTATGTTTATGTTAATTATTGCCATTAAGGAAATGTGCATTTCAGAGTTAATAAACAATGTGTCCACTCTGTACTGTGTTACTTTAGATCAAGCACTAGTTCGGCGGCGGCAGCTTTTGCTGCGGCCACAGCAGGCTCTAGTAATCCACCAGAACCACCGTCTCAACCCCAGTCACGAGCTGGTAGCCGTCTTCCCAGTGCAGGTCGGTGTGACTTCTTTTAACTCTCAGTAATGGACTAAATCTAAGGATTGCTGCAACTTTCGTGTTTATTAGACCCAAGACATAGTATAATATAAAACATGCTTTACTATTGATGGAATGTGAACTTTGGAATGATGCTTCATAATTATCGTATTGTAAGTCACATTGGTTGACTCTTTAACCAGTTATTAATGGATTTAAAGTCAATTTGATATTAGTAAATTCATTAAATGACATTTATACCTAAGTTTTCTGTGCGATATGTTTTTGTCTGGTCCATCTTGATCTGATACACGAATGGTATATAATATTTATCTTCTTTCAATAACATGTATATGAGTTCAGTAACTGTATTTACTCTGGAGTGACTGTTTTCATTTCTATCTTCTTCACGTGAAAAAATTGTTAATTTCCTAAACATTAAAGTCAATGTTTAAGAAAGATTTGGTGGCTTAAATAAATTAAAAATACCTGAAGGTGCAAAACATGGGGCTGTGGAGGTTTTCTAAACTAATTGTAATATTAAAAGTCAAAGTTTATATCAGGTTAGGCTTCTCTTAAAACATTGTGGGTTTAATATACAAATAATAAATACAATGTCTTTATTTATATGAAAGGCTTAGGTAACACACTTTCCATAATTGTGTGAATGTATTGTTGCTATATAAACCATAAGTACATCTTTTTTTAACACTTAAAACACTTCCATAAATATACAAACGTACTGTTGATATACAAACGACAAACACTTTCCATAATTGTGTGAATATACCATTTTTATGTAAACAATAAATAAAACATCTTTATTTACATGAAATGCCCAACATATTTCCCATATTTGTTTTAAAAACAATTTCTCTAAATCTTTATAAATCTAAGGAATTCAGAATGAAATTAATCTGTAATTATAACTGACAGCTGGAGCTGATTTGAAGATCCCTAAAGCCAAGCGAGAGTCTATGATTAGTACAGCTGCTACCATGAGAGTTTTGAATGTTCTTCGTCACTGGGTATCCAAACACTCCCAGGTACTGGCTCTTCTTCTGATTTATCTACTGTTATGGAGATTTTAGTTGGATATTTATGTGATATTTGCATTCCTCATTTTCTGGATAGTACAAACTAATATTTTCTTTTAGGATTTTGAAAATGATCCTAAGCTCCTGCAGTTGACAACTGATTTTCTAGAGGAACTGGTTCACAACACAAATTTGTTACCTGCCGAGCATAAGGCAGCAGCTCAGATATTACAGATGATTACCAAACAAGATCAAGACAAGACAACAAAAGTTGAACTGGATGTTCTGCTGTCACCACCTGTGGTAAGATGTGGTTCATGTGACATGATAAACTTCCCTTTATCGGGGAATTTATTAGCTACAGATATCCCCGTATTCTAAGTCAGAGAGGATAGAAACAAAGGTTGGCAATACTTAAGGTTAAGTACTAAACAACTTTGTTAATTTCACAGATATCCCCATATTCTAAGTCAGAGAGGAAAGAAACAACGGTTAGCAATACTTAAGGTTAAGTACTAAACAACTTTGTTAATTTCACAGATATCCCCGTATTCTAAGTCGGAGAGGAAAGAAACAAAGGTTGGCAATAGTTAAGGTTAAGTACTAAACAACTTTGTTAATTTCACAGATATCCCCGTATTCTAAGTCAGAGAGGATAGAAACAAAGGTTAGCATTATTTTGGGTTAAGCTAAACATCTTTTAGTTTTAAAAAGTGAAGTTTTCATCCTATAGTACTTTTGGAAATCATTCGTAAAGTGATAAAAATAAGGTGACCATGAATTTCAAAACCTTATCATTATTCTTTAAAATAAATTGTTTTCAGATTCCAAGTAAGGAAACTATAGAGACTTTATCAGCTCTGGAACTGGCTGAAGGAATGACTTTCTTGGATCACCAGATTTTTATCTCCATCAGGAGCGAGTAAGTAGAGTTGTTTAGTATAAGAAAAAAAGGAAATAAGATGAAAACTTTGGATTTCTATTTATTGTTTTGGTTCTGGTTACATAACCGTTTTTCAACGTGTACTACACCTTATAAACTAAACGGTCAGGTTAAATTTTCTATGGTTCAGGTAACTAACTTTGAACTGTTAATCAGCATCTGCCACTGCAAAGATTTTTCTTTGGTTCTTTAATTGACTGTCTCTTTTATAACATGCCCACAGTAGAAAGTGCAATAGTGTTCAATGGCATCGTGGCTCAAACCTTTGACCTCGTGATCTGTAGTACTGCCCAATTACCATTAACTTGAGCCACTCCAGGTACAAAAAGTATTTATCTTTGACTTTAGTTGCAGTCAATTCTGTATCATAAAACCTGAATAATTAATTGATATCTGATACAAATAATTTATGACTTTGAAAAAAGGGCTGTTATTGAACTGAAAACTTAGGCTTAACAAAGTTTTTATTCTTTTATCATTACCATTTTGTTTAAGTTGTGTTTATTGAAGCATAATATTTAGTTATTTTTTATTAAAGTTTTTTCCTTTCTTCCAGGTTAGAAAAATTAAAGCTCTCTTTGATATGACTCTAAAAATAATGATAACCTATTTTAATGAATGTCTTAATCATTTTATGAAACATGTTGTGTATAATACTCATGATGAGGTAACTAAAGATGACAATAATATTGCTATTATAAACCAAACTCATGTAATTAATCACTTTATTAAGAAAAATAAAAAATACAGCACTAAAAATATGACTAATTAGAGTAGTTGAGTGTTATGTAATGTACCAGTTGTACAAAAAATCCAGAGCTTATCATTACATAATGTACCAGTTGTACAAAAAATCCAGAGCTTATCATTACATAATGTACCAGTTGTATAAAAAATCCAGAGCTTATCATTACATAATGTACCAGTTGTACAAAAAATCCAGAGCTTATCATTACATAATGTACCAGTTGTACAAAAAATCCAGAGCTTATCATTACATAATGTACCAGTTGTACAAAAATCCAGAACGTATCATTACGTAATTTACCAGTTGTACAAAAATCCAGAACGTATCATTACGTAATGTACCAGTTGTACAAAAAATCCAGAACGTATCATTACGTAATTTACCAGTTGTACAAAAAATCCAGAACGTATCATTACGTAATGTACCAGTTGTACAAAAATCCAGAACGTATAATTACGTAATTTACCAGTTGTACAAAAAATCCAGAACGTATCATTACGTAATGTACCAGTTGTACAAAAATCCAGAACGTATCATTACGTAATGTACCAGTTGTACAAAAAATCCAGAGCTTATCATTACATAATGTACCAGTTGTACAAAAAATCCAGAACCTATCATTACGTAATGTACCAGTTGTACAAAAAATCCAGAGCTTATCATTACATAATGTACCAGTTTTACAAGTAACCAGAACATATAATTATACAAATAGCCAGAACATATAATTATACAAATAGCCAGAACGTATCATTACGTAATGTACCAGTTGTACAAATAGTCAGAATGTATCATTACGTAATGTACCAGTTTTACAAAAAAAACAATGTATCATTACATAATGTACCAGTTGTACAAATAGTCAGAATGTATCATTACATAATGTACCAGTTGTACAAATAGTCAGAATGTATCATTACATAATGTACCAGTTGTACAAAAAAAAACAATGTATCATTACATAATATACCTGTTTTACAAAAAAACCAGAATGTATCATTACATAATGTACCAGTTTTACAAATAGCCAGAACGTGTCATTACATAATGTACCAGTTTTACAAGTAGTCAGAACGTATCATTACATAATCTACCAGTTTTACAAATAACCAGAACATATAATTACATAATGTACCAGTTTTACAAGTAGCCAGAACGTATCATTACATAATCTACCAGTTTTACAAGTAACCAGAACATATAATTACATAATGTACCAGTTTTACAAATAGTCAGAACGTATCATTACATAATCTACCAGTTTTACAAGTAACCAGAACATATAATTACATAATCTACCAGTTTTACAAGTAGCCAGTACGTATCATTACATAATGTACCAGTTTTACAAATAGTCAGAACGTATCATTACATAATCT